TTCATTTTTCTTTCTAAATTTTATACTACCATGTGGGAAATGAACTACTAAGCGGGTTTTTATGCGGGTAGCAGGACTACCCACTTGCATCCCTACGCATAGCCCCATTGTTTAGTTTGGCGGTCCAAATGCTAGTTGGTAAGGACGACAAGTTCATGGTGGCTTCAAGCATGTCTTTGTTGATGATGCCCAAGTTCAGATACTCCTTCAACCCTCTGCGGGAAGAAGCAATTTCTCATCATCTACAACGTCGATCTCTATCAGGACCATCTTCATCTCACATAGATCCTGTCGGAGGGTGAACTCCTCCACAAGGGAACCGTGAGGCCCCCCTTTTTTTGGTTCAGCCGGGGGCAGCAGGTGAGATTCGAGGGCTTGGTGAGCGAAACTGTGTGATCTCGAGAGAGTTAGGCCCCTCCAAGACGATGAGACAAAAGGAGTTTATACAAGTTCGGGCCGCTGAGAAGCGTAATACCCTACTCCTGTGCTATGTTGATTGTGGGAGAAATTACAAGATCTCCTTGTTGGAGTAGAAGGCGTTGATCATGAGGGGTAGAAGCTGCTCTAGAGTCTTAAATGGCTCATCTTCCTTCCTTCCATCCATCGATCGATCTCTCTTGGTCGATCCGTCCCCCTCCTACGTAGGCCTGGACTTTCTTTTATACCTTAAGGGGTTACCACATGGGCCCAACAACCTAACTTAGTGGAGAAGTATTACAATCTTTGCATTAAATGCATGTCTTGTCTCTTGACATGGGAAGCCAAACGCACGTCGTCTTGATGATGGGCCAGTCAAATCTTGCCGCCTGACACGGGGGGTTGCCCCTGTCAGTCGCCATTTAAGGGACGAAGACTTCTGGGCTCCTGTTTGACCAGAGCTAGCTGCTACGGAAGAGCCAGCATAGGGGGCCCCGGGCGTCGACGACGACCAGAGCTCGATGCAGGGCTAGGATAGAGCTAGGAATCGCAGCCTCCACGCTTTTAGCAAAAAATCGTTTGAATGGATGAAGTGAATACAAACTTTTTGTTACCAACGGGGGCAAACGAGCGTGTGGCACGTCGGTACCACGGGACTGCGAGAAAGAGATGGTTCAGAGATAAATATAAGCCATAATAACTTTGCTGATAAGCATGAACAAAGTAGATATAAGCATAAAGGAAGTATTACAAATGCTATGCTCAAAAAGAGCCCCCGGCCAACGCTGAGCTTTCCCAGAGAGGTCGGCTTTGGTCCGGGTATTGTAATACCTCCTTTGTTACCTTTGTTTATCCTTGTTTGTACGTCACGGCCTTTCAAACCTTTCGCTCGAAGAAGGCTCCCCATCCTGGGCTCTGAACCCTTTAGGGAAACCTGCGACCACTTAGCAAACGAGGTCAAGTTCCCACGAGCCTGCGCCCCCATGCTACACATTTTGTTCGCTCTTTCCTTTCGGTGTCCTCCTTTCAATCTCTTTTCCTTCTACATGGACGATTACTTTCGCACGAGTGTGAGAGCCGAAAAACTCTAGAGCCAGTAATCCCCATCCACAGTTGAGCCGGGCTAGGCTCCATAGCCATCCGGCGGGACCAAAGTCAGCCGCTATGGAAGAGCCAACACAGGGGGTCCCGGGCTTCGACGGCACCCGGGGCTCAACTTAAGGCTAGGATAAGGCTAGAAAAGTTAGCCCCCACACTTAGCGAAGAATTGTTCATGTAGATGGGAGAGAGGTTGGGCTCTTACCACCGAGGGAGCAAACAAATGCGCAACACGCGAGCGTCGCAGGGCCATGAGAATAGAATGGGGGGAAATTAAATATAAGATTTCAAGCTGATGAATTGAAAATTTGAAAATACTTGAAACTTGAAAGGATGATTAATGCTTGAAAGATGGATGCCTTTATGCATGGATTGTGGTGGCGACAGGGTCTTCTCTTTGGCAACCAGCCTACAAGATCTGAGCGCAGAACACCAGCAACTAAGAAAGGACCTCTCCGCTGGAGGGGACTTGTCAATTACACAGTCATGCCGGAGCACGGTGTAAGCCTGACTTCCCATCTTAGCGAGCGTGCGACTTGTGGTTGGCGCCAGGTGACCCTGTGCACTATGTGCTTTTGGTAGGTTTTCAAACGCTTGATACCTACCTGCAAGAGTCTTCTCAGGAGTGGACCGAGGCGGGCAGCATGTTCATGAGCCAACCCCGCGCTTGGCCCCTGAGGGCCATGGGGAAGAAGCTCGCCATGACCTGGTCATCACCCCCCGCCGCCTCTATGATCGTCGTGCAGATCTGGAGGGACTTAGAGGGGTTGACGCCGCCGTCGTACTTCTTGGTGAGGCTGGGCCGGAACTTTGGGGGCCATCGGGCATTCTGAAGACTCGCCACAAAGGACTGGCCGCTAGCCTTTTTCGGTGAGGATGTGGGGGGCCTAGCCCCCTGCCTAGGGTGGCGCGGCTCTCCTGAGGAGGCTGCGCCTTCCCCTGCATTAGCGGCGCGACGCTCATCACGCCGGCGATCGAAATAACCTTAAAAGTCACGAACGCGCCCCCTACCTGGCGCGCCAGATGTCGGAGGGTGAACTCCTCCACCAGGGAACCGTGAGGCCCCTCTTTTTTTGGTTCGGCTGGGGGCAGTGGGTGAGTGAAACTATGTGATCTCGAGGGAGTTAGGCCCCTCCAAGACGATGAGACAAAAGGAGTTTATATAGGTTCGGGCCGCTGAGAAGCGTAATACCCTACTCCTGTGCTATGCTGATTGTGGAGAAATTACAAGATCTTCTTGTTGGAGTAGAAGGCGTTGATCATGAGGGGCAGAAGCTGCTCTAGAGTCTTAAATGGCTCATCCTCCTCCCTTCCATCCGTCGATCGATCTCTCTTGATCGATCCGTCCCCCCCCCCCCACGTAGGCCTGGACCTCCTTTTATACCTTAAGGGGTTACCACATGGGCCCAACAACCTAACTTAGTGGAGAAGTATTACAATCTTTGCATTAAATGCATGTCTTGTCTCTTGACTTGGGAAGCCAAGCGTACGTCGTCTTGATGGGGCCCGTCAAATCTTGCCGCCTGACACGAGGGTTGCCCCTATCAGTCGCCATTTAAGGGACGAAGACTTTTGGGCTCCTGTTTGACCAGAGCTAATAAACCGACTCCGGCTATGATGAGAGACTAAAAAGCCTCTCATTATGATGTGACGGGATAGAGCACGCCGCACGCCGCCTGGCATACTGACAGGGTGGGGGTACACAGCCGCCGTCACATCGGTCATTCGACCGGTAACGGACCGGTCACAGATCGGTCACAGATCGGTTGAGTGCACTGCACATCGCATTAATGCGGCGTGGCGCAACTGCTCAGGTCGCCATAAATGCGGGTAGGTGGGCGCCTGAAGGCGGCCACCTAACCCACCGCACGTGGTGACCCAGAGAGGGGGTCGGGGGAGCCCGATCCCTAGTCACAGGAGGGGGCGGCCACTGCCCTACCTCGGGCCCGATCCCTCCTCGGGGGAGGGCCACGTGGCGCCTGGGGCAGCCTCCTCCCTCTAGTCTTGATAGGGACAGGCCTGACCCCCAAGCGTTGAGGGGGCAACCGCCACTCCACCCCGGGCGCCACCCCCTCGGGGAAGTGCCACGTGGGTCTGGGGCAGCCTCCTCCCTCCAAACTCGGTACCCTATGCTGGGAGGGGGCGGCCGCCGCTCCACCCTCCTTAGGGGACGCCACGTGGGTTTGGGGGCGGCCTCCTCCCTTTAAACATGATACCCCGGGCCCATATCACCGACAGATCCGACTCAATTTAAACAAACTCTATCCGATGTCTCAAGGGAGGACTTAATATGTTTTTGTGTTTTTTTTTTGGGTGTGTTTTGATCAACTGTTGAAATTTGATATTTCATGTGCAAGCTAGGAGCAAATAGTTCAACTGAGATTTTTGTCTATGTTTCACATGTTTTTCTTTTCATGTTTCAGTATTTGAAACTCAATGTTTCATATGTGGAAGCATAATGTTTCAACTTAGATTTGAAAATTTTTCACTTTTTTTATTTATGTTGTACTCCATGTCTAAAGATGTTTCAGTGTCTGTATTTTTATATTTCAAAATACTTCAATGTCTAGACTTTTTATTTCACGATATATAACGGGAACATTTCAAGTACTCGTTTCACGCTCATTCGTCAGATTGTTGCACGCTTTTAATAATACATTTTTTTTAAAAAATACTTCTTCTACTGTACACACCATTTGTTTTAAGATATTTTAAGTTTATTTTTAAAAGCATTTGATTTATCGATATAATCAAGTAGATAATATGCAAAAATGATCCACTCAATAATCTAACTCAAACACGGTCTTAATCACCACATCATGAAGGACACCTGCATAGAGAAGATATGGAGATTGCATACTCCACTACAGAAGCAATAGGTTGAGATGCCATAATGGACAATATGGCACATTCATCCGTATCTTTCTTCACAATATTTTTTGGACATAGAATATATAGATGGTTTAATAAACAATAAAAATGAAAAATGAGTGTAGAGGATCGAGGATCGGCACTAAAATGAATATGTTAGATGAATCTCTTTACCACGTAACCTCACTTCTCACTAGTATTCACATCGTAGATGCGTTATAAAACAACATTTTCCATACTACCCATACTGTTAAATAGCAGTCTAGCTAAAACAAGGCAATGTCCCGTTTAAACGGAAAACGGTAAAAAACAAACGTGCGCACCGAACAACCCCGTTTTCCGCTGCGGTGGCGACACGCGTTCGTCCCACCCGTACGGCGAGCTGCCTGAGCCAAGCTAAGCCACACCCCATCCGTCGGCTCGGCTCTGCTCGGCTAGGCTAGCCTCGTGCGGACCCAACACGTGTCGGCGCGGTGGACACGTGGGTCACCCTCCACGCGGTCGCGGGCCATTAGGACACGCCTCCTTAAAATTATCTACGCCCACTTGGGGGTAATTAACAGCTAATGGCTTGATTATTTAGCGAGTCATCAGTAGGTTAAAAGAAAACCCTTTCTGGTGATTACTAATGGCGGAACAGGAGCGAGAGAGATTATTAGACGGACACGTCGTCCCCTCCCCCCCCCCCCCCCCCCCGCGCCCACCAATCGCATCCACGCACGCCGCCCACGCTGCGGCCTCTGCGGGCGGAGAGGCAGAGATCTGAATGATTGCTTGCCTGCTTGCTTCTTATCTTTCCTCTGCCGCTTTCGTCCAATCCGCTGGCCGTGCAGCGAATCCGCGCATTTTTTTCTTTTTCCTTTCTGGTGATGGGAGTTGTTTTAGTTCTTTGATTTCCGCCGTGGATTCGCCGCTGATTCTTGGGAGGATTGGATTTGGCGGCCATGTGATTTGGTCTTGTTTGAGCGAGCACAGTTTGGTGCAGGTGCAGGGAGGGAGTTCGTCGTGTTTTTTTTTTTTTTTGGGGGCGAATTCTTGATTGTTTTGGGGGGCTTCTTCTTCTTGCTTGGAGGAGCATGCAAGAGGAATAGCATCCTTGGAGGGATTTTTTTTTTTTGTTGGAGAGGTGAGATTGTTAGGAGGTGGTGGTGGTTCGGCCATGGCGTCGAGGGACTTCTTGGGCGTGTTCGGCGGCGGCGGCGGCGAGAGGAGGGCGGCGAATGGGTCCGGGAGCGCGGTGGGCGGCGAGTCGGACGAGATCGAGCTGAGCCTGGGGCTGTCGCTGGGCGGCCGCTTCGGCACCGACATGTCCCCGGACGCCAAGCGCGCGCGGCTGGCGCGGTCATCGTCCATCGCGTCCGTCTGCTCCGTGTCCGCCGCCGACGGCGACCCCTCCCCCGCGGCGCCGCTGCCGCTGCTGCGCACCAGCTCGCTGCCCACGGAGACCGAGGAGGAGCGGTGGCGCCGCAGGGAGATGCAGAACCGCCGCCGCCTGGAGGCCCGGCGGAAGCGGCTCGAGCGGAGGATCTCCGTCGGGTCGTCGTCGGTCCCGAACAAGCCCGGCAGGGAGGACGGCGGCGACGGCGCCGTTAACAGGTTGCAGCTGAGGAGGTCAATCGGGTCGCAGGGGAGCAGCTCGGCCAACCCGCAGGATCAAGGTATAAGCAGTAATTTGATTAATTTCGGCATGTTCAATTGTTCATACTCTTGTATAAGCAGTAATTTGATTTCAGCATGTTCAATTGTTCATACTCTTGTATTTCTATGCCTTTTAATTAACTATTGTGCTTGAGATGCATCGCAAAAAGGTTTATCGTTGTGAGATTCTAACCTGCCAAGTTTTAGAATCGAAAATTGTTTCTATTTGTTAATCCAATTTTGTTGGTTAGATTCAGGCTGTGTATATATGGTTGGGAAATTTCACTAAAACTTGAATATAACTAGACTTAGGCAGACTTGTATTTGAAATTCGGTAAATGCCGCTGGAGGTTCGCTTGCCTAAATGGTAGGCCAAGATGTAGTACGCCGGCAAAAGTTGGCACTAGACGAAACAGACCAGATTAACAGTGCATTTTAGGTCGTGACTCATGACTAGGATGATTGTCTCCTACGTGTGCATGTGTTTTGGCGCACAAATCTATTGATTTTTGATATTATTATCTCCTACGTGTGCATGGTTTTTTGGCGCGCAAAGCTATTGATTTTCAAAGTCCTGACGTGCGGACATATATAGAAGTATATGGGATTGTGATCCACTTACATGTGCTGTTCAGTGTTCACTATCAGGTATACTTACTGTTTTGGCTCACAAAATGATTGCTCTTCCTGTTGAAATGTGTTCAAAGATCTAAAAGTATATGGGATGCTATCGACTTACATCTTCTGTTGTCATCATGTTTTTGTCTAATGGAAAATTTTAATTTGATTAGTGGATGAATCTAAAGGCTGTGCATGCTTGTCAAATCAGAATGAAATTTATCTTTGTTGTTGGCTTGAATCTTAATCATGTTAATGTTTTTCACGTACAGTATGATGCAATTTTTGGTTCGCCAGTATGTAACTATGATCATGTGCCATAATTTGACTTTAGGTGAGGTAAATGTTTTCTATGTTTAGAATGATGCTTTCAACCCTTTCAACTAGCCATATTTTCTTGAACAGGCTTTATTACCAATACTTTTTAAAAAAGAAACTTCTGAACTACTCCAATGTTCTATTTAGGTATGGTTAGGTGCAGGGATTTAGACCAGGGAAAAACAGTTAGTGGAAATAACCATAATTCCAATTGACAACTTTTATGCCATTTGCTGACATGGCAGAAAAAGTGAGATTCTAATCAACTCTTCCTACTCTTCACCTTTTAATTGGTACCACTGAATTCAGGTTGTATTCGAAGTCAGAGTGTTGATGATCAAAAATTGTGTCTCTTGACAAGTTGTTAAAAAGAACTCGACAAGCAGTTTCACACTTTTCTAAGAGATGGCACTGGTACTTCATTTAATATTTTGAACTATAGAAGGTTCATGTTTATGTTAGTTCCACTAGAGCATACCTCAATGACAGCTTAAATACTGTTTATTAATATATATTTTTTTGGTTAGACTTTGAAGGGACCACATATAGCATTACCTAAATTTAGCACTTCTCTCCGAACTACATAAGGCTATTTTGCATCTAATGTGATAATCATGAACTCACTAGGTAACTTGTTATTACACTAAAAAAATGTTCACACATCACGCTTATGATTCATGAGTCCTGAAAGCATGCAAATATATATATTTGATATTTGATTCATCGTGATTGGTACTTGGAAGAATCTGTTGTGGCTAGTACAAAATTGTGTTATCAAAATGAGATGGTTGATAAAGTGAAAAATAAATTTGTGGTCAAATTTATGCTTGAGGCTGTACATCAAGGAAACTCAAAACTTTCAATGTTGTTCTCAGGTCCTGATGGAAGTGCAATCTGCCAATCCACGGAGGCGAGAAGCCCATCAACCTCTGATGATACCAACCAAAACAGTGCACTTCCTCCAACAGCATCAACTGGCAAGCCGCTAAACGGCACCGTGACACAGCAGTCCCCGTTGCGAACGCTTGGGTCACTGACAATGCGGACGAGCAGCACTGGCGACATCGGGAAGATCATGATGGACATGCCAATGGTGTCTTCCAAGGTGGAAGGGCCCAATGGTAGGAAGATAGATGGCTTCCTGTACAAGTACAGGAAAGGTGAGGATGTGAGTATAATGTGTGTCTGCCATGGTAAATTCCATAGTCCTGCAGAGTTTGTGAAGCACGCTGGAGGGGGAGACGTCTCAAATCCGCTTAGGCATATCGTCGTCAATCCCTCGCCATCGGTGTTCTTGTAATCACAACCTAGGGAGGTTTTTCTTCACATTCTTTACCTGTTGAAAACCTGTAACTTGTGTTTGTAACTTCTGATAAACACCCTGTTTCCGTGCGTGCAACGGAACGAGGGTCCAAGCAAATTTACCAAATTGTGAGAATAGCAGAGCATGTTCAGAAGAAATGTCATATGCATCTCGATTGATATGTTAATATCATTATGCAGTTCGCGTTAGCCTCAATGAGCACGATGATAAAAAATAGACGATAAAAACTGCTGTTTTTTCTTTCTTTCTTCTGCTCGGGCAGTCTAGCACTTTACGACTACCAATTTGTAGTTTCGCACAGGGGATGGCATTGTCCATGCGACCATGTCTAACAAGAAACAAATAGCAGAAGCCTGCCACTGCTATATCTCGCAGAGCGGCAACAAATTTGTTAGCCTGGTTGCACACAAGAAAACTATGAAGACAGATTACGAAATAACTATTAAACGACCGTAAATTGTCCACAAAATCATGACTAGCAAGGCTTTGTAATAGACGCCAAACTCTACGAAACTAGGTTACAAAGTGGGTATGCCAAAATTGTGACTAGGTTACAATGGATCTATAGTATTTGGACTACAATCAAGGCAGAAAAACTTGTTCTACTGTCATACACATTACATATCGATCCTGATGAGCTACTCTACCTAAGGACACTGGGTCAACCTTGAGCAACCTATACGAACTACATACAAGTAGGGCTCATATAATGGTGATTTATTGCATTATATTATGAATTATTCCACCAATGCTCTGCACATGAGTGCCCGTTCAGAATGTGCATCACTGCTCATACTGACCACAAGTCAAACATGAAAAATCTGGCAATTATTAGCTCAACCAGATGGAACAGTGCAAGACAAAAGAAACTCAAACCTGCTATGGCTTCTGGAGAACCAAAGGACAGCAAAGGTAGCTAGGCGTTTAATGAAAGCAGCTGCTCTTATCATATCCTGCGGTTTGCCTTCTCAGAGAAGTGTCTTCAGAGCATCAGCCAATACTTCACCACAATCGCTGGATAAAGACAAAAATCAGGTTTTGTTGTTAAGTTACCTGAAACCTTCGCTACTGCTATTTTAGACATAAAAACCATTCAATTTACCAAAAATGATCAGACATGAAAAACATTCCGAAATCACTTTGTTGATGGAAGACAAAGTGAATAGCCATAAGCCCTGAATTAAACATATTGTATTGGGCACTGCTGCCTCCACATTAACAGAATAGTGCTAACTCAAGACTATACAACTTTCTATTTTAAATCAATCAGCATTGGAGTACATGACAAAATGCATTGTCAGAAATCATCGTGTAATGTGAATATGTGAAATAACTGTATATAATTAGTTATTTGAGTAACGATAAGCATTTCAAGGGTAAAACAGTGAACAAGAAAACTAATACAAGCAAAATATAATGGAAGAAGTTTTTGCTATGATGCTACCTATCGAAAAATCTTTCTTTAAGGGAGGAAAATGCAGTAACATCACAAGTTCTATAGAATCAATTGGAGGCAAGTCAACAAAAGAAAGAACACGAGGTCAAGAGCATATATTTCTTTTCACCAGACCCAAATCAATAGAATTCCAATCTGTCAGGCCGATACTCCCAATATGTGGTTAAAAAGCTGCAGAAAGAAGTCTTCCAGGTCGACATTCAGAGCTTCAAGGTTGCTCCTCCCGACATTAAACACAATTATGCAGCATTGCAGATGTTGTGATGTAGACAGTGTATTATCATGTAGAATCTCACTGTGATGGTCGGTATACCCAGAAAGCTTCTTGAGACATGCGGTAAGTTCGCCCATGAAATCCAAATCAATTAAATGTGAGAATTTTCCTAATCCCTCCATCTGGGGATACATTAATGGCCTTGCTCCTGAAGTCCTGATGATGATAATTAGACTGTCAGGACAGTAAGTCAGTAACTTCCAAAGTAAGTAAAAATTTATCATATTGAATAAATTCGGATCGTATAATGCCAATAATTAGTTGATTCTCACGAAACTTAAGTGTAAACTTTCAAACACACATACCTGGAATTTGAAGTATACATCCTATGCTTCAAAATACGAAGGTAAGTCTCGAAAAGAGCAGATAGTGTTTCTTTCTGTATACTTCTCCTAACCTTTCGATTAAGAGTAAAGGAGGCACCTCTAAGTTCAGCATCAACCTGTAGTAATAATAAAAACAACAATAAACAAACTTCTAATACAAACCAACATAGCCATCTCAAGAAAATTATGGAATACACAGTGTTACCTCTTCTCTAGCCTTTGGCTTTCTTTTTATCACTCACTGGCAATTGCTTTGGGACCAAAGCAAGGAGTTTGATACAGCTGTCTACTGAGCATGCACTAACATTAATATGTATCATAAGCAAAGGCTTATTTAAAAATGAGTTTCTCTGTAATGCAAAAAGGAGCATAAGGATACCAGAACTTTCAACTGAAACTTTGCATGAGGAGATTCAGTTTGAGCTTGCACATTTTGGAATTTACTGTCTCCCTTTTTGCTTTCAGATATTGCTTTATGTTCTTTCTTTTGAGACACTGCGCGTAGCGCAGAGCCGCAGATGGCATGGTGCAGCCGTTGTGCTCTCCGTGACCAGCGTTTGACTCTGGTCGGACGTGCTCACCCTCTTTCTTAATAAATTCGACATTGGGTCCTTCCCTAGTATCCAGCGTTTTTTTGTTCTTTCTTTTGAATAGTTTGTTTGGCATCTGCTCCTTTGTCTTCAGATTTAGATTCAACACCATTAGAACTGTCATCAAATCTCGCGTTCTTGGCTGCATGCCAATGCAAATATGTTACGTGAGTAGAATAACACCAAGTAACATGGGCAAATAAACAAGGCATCTTTAACCTTCAAATGGCATCGTTAGCTAGATAGAACTGATGCATACAGCCTCTGGTGTGTTTAAGAAAAAAATGATATCCACAGAAACCTATTTGTGCCTTTTTAGCTCTCATTGGACAAGCGGTCTTGGCATGATCTTTCTGTTACAGTGAACTGAAAATTATTATAGGAAGCAAAGATCATTAAAGCCAGTTCTATATAAACAAATATTAATTGGGCCTTTTTTCAAAAAATGGAGAAGTGCCCAAACCCCATACATGGATAAGTGCAACAATTTAGCTCTTTCCTAGAAAAAGAATGTTGGATTCTATGTACGTGCCAGCTGACCTCCCATGTCCAATTCAGTCAACCTGGTACAAGAGAATGCATAATTTCCAAATGGCAAAGCCGAAAGACTAGGCTCAATGTACTGATTGAATTTGTTTAGTACCCTTCCACATTGGATCTACATTTGCAGTTGCACCTAGATCGTTCTTTCTTCCAATTTTAGGGCCCCTTTGAATCGCAGGAATGGAAAAACGGAGGAATAGGAAAAACGTAGGATTCTGACAGGAATGCAGGTGTAAAACAAAGGATTGGAAAATACAGGAAAAACACAGGAATGACCGTTTGATTAGACCACAGAAAAAACGCAGGAATCGGATGAGAGAGATAGACTCAAAGGAATTTTTCCAAGAGATTGGACCTCTTGCTAACTTTCCTCCAAAATCTCTATAGGATTAGCCATTCCATAGGAATTTTAAAGGATAGTATATGATTCAATCCTTTGTTTCAAAGGCTTTCATAGGAATTTTTTCCATAGGATTGAAATCCTTCAAATTTCCTACACTTTTTCTACAAATCAAAGGGGGCCTTACAGTTTATTCCAATCATCTACGTTCTAAAGGGCACCATTCCAATTGCAATCATTCGTGATTAGGCATTGTCATTTTTTAGTACACAAATTTTGCAAAATTTTCTCCTCGGTAGTACAAGTGTACAACAACGAGAGTAGCTGGTTTGGTTGGAAGTAGTAACAAGTTCCTCCACGGAGAAAGAAACCTGAGCGCATCAACACACTCTTCTATTCGATGACAAAGCCGCGATTCTTAAATTGGAATAAAGACTGATAATTCAAACATTCAATACTGATGCTGCAGCAAGAGCAGAATAACAACAGATAAAACTGGAGCGGCGCGGAAAAGCGTCATGGGATGATGGGTGGCTGTACCGTTGTTGTAGACCAGCTTCCCCTGCAGCGTCTTGATGGGGAATGCGTCGACCTCCCTCCACCAAGTCGTCATGCTCCTTGCACGGCCTGAGGCTGAGGGCCTCGGCCACCTTCCTGTTGCCCTCGCGCTCCTCGTAGGGGCGCTCGACCTCGTCCTCGTCGTCGTGGTCGGCGACCCTGGTGACCACGACCTCGCCGTCGTCCACCTCCGGCGGCAGCTGCGGCGGGAGGATCACCTTGTTCTTCTTCTTCTTCTTCTTCTTGCTGCTCTTCCCCCATTGCGCCCCATTGCGGAATCGGTCTGCAGCTCAGGCTTTCCTCTCGCTCGCGGCGGGGAGAGGCGGCGGAGGGAGGAGGAAGATGACAATGCCGCCGCTTGAGTATTTTGGGCCTCATTAACTGGGCCATTCCCGCGAGGAATAAGTCCATTTTTGTTTCCTCGTATTTACATCGAATCTAAATCATCTACCTACACAGCAATACCAGAAAACTTTGAACCCCCATCATATCGAACCAGGTTAAATAAGGTCCTATGAAAGTATGAATGGCTGGTTTTGTTGACATGGTCAGTTGATCTGGTGCACTCGTATTGACTAGGTGTTTGTGTGGCAAAAAAAGATAATAGCGAAACCCACGTGCCATCCTCCCTCTCGCAAGAAAATTAACGATGCAGTAGCTCCATCCCGCAAAGGCGGGTGATGGCAAGACCTGAGGGAGTCCAGTAAGGGAGACGGTACGACAACGCCATCCCCAAATCTCCCATCCTCTTCCTCCTATCCACCGTCCGCGGACATAGGCTGTGTTCGGTGCTCTAGGTTCCCAACCCATTTCCCTCGTTTTTCGCGCGCACGCTTTTCAAACTACTAAATGGTACGTCTTTTTTGCAAAAAGTTTCTATACAAAAGTTGCTTTAAAAAATCAAATTAATTCATCTTTAAAAAATTAGCTAATACTTAATTAATTATACGCTAATGGACTGCTCCGTTTTCCGTGGGAAGAAGATGGGTTCCCAACCCCAAGTTAGAACACAGCCATAGTTATTTTCCTCACCTCGCCTTAGCTGCCTCAACCAGTCTCATTCGTCGCCATTTCTCATCCGCCTTTCATTGCGACACTAATTCGGAACAATCCCATCATCGTTGCCTAGATTAGGAGAGGCCGTCAGGACTTAACACTAGCCATCGCCAGGGGTCCACCTCGAAGAAGTCGTGCTACTCGCTAGAGAACTCGATGAACTTCACCTCTTTCCCTCATACCTCCCTCGAGGCTTGGTGTGGATGGACTCCGACACGACCGGTGCTCCTTCAAACGCTCATGGCTGATGTTGATGTTAGCACAATCCTACCACTGCAATTGTTACCACTCGTCGGCGGCTACCCCAACCCTCTCCCCTTCCCCGGTCGCTCTACCAGGAAAATGAGGGAATAGGATAAGAAAGAGGTGGAGAAGGCTACAACGTCACTTAAGTCTAGGTCTATTGATATTTTTTTATCTATAATGTATAATGCCACGTTGGCACCACGTAAGCCAAAAACGTCCTTCATATCATTTTGAGATCTCGTTTGCACTAGTTTTGAAAGATGAGGGACACGCTATACCTGGTTTTCTGGTTGAGAGACGCAATTCAAATTCACACCCATACTCCCTCTGTAAAAAAAAAAATAGGATTTTTTTTTATGGAGGGAGTAAGTAAGATACGTGTGATCTTTTTCCAAGAGGAAGATGGCACCGCGTTTTTCCATCTTGGGCCTTGCGTGAGTATTTTGGGCCTGATTGAAAACTGGGCCATCACAAAGCATCTAGGCCTTCCAGCCTCAAACAACGTAGAAAAAGCTAGCCCATTGCCCGGCGAGGTTGCAGTAAACTCGATGCCTTACATCGCAAGAAAGCCCAAAAATATCTCGTTACCCAAACCAAGTGTATACACGGGCCTCGTCCCTACGTGTCGCCTCCTCCCGCAAGAAAGCGGGCGTCCGCAATCCCCATCCCATTGGCAAGGTATAAATGGGCCGGTCTCCAACGTCTCACCCCCAATCTCCCACCCTCTCACCCCTACACTACGCTCACAAACAAACGCGCGCGCGCACGCTCGCCGAGAGAGAGAGAGAGAGAGAGAGAGAGAGAGAGAGAGAGAGAGAGAGAGAGATGGCGGTTCCGGTGGTGGAGCAGCCGGTGCAGGCGGCGGCGACAGACTGGATGGGGAGGCTGCAGGTGACGGCGGAAGGGCTTCGGGATATCGGCGCTCTAGTTGCAGCGGCTGCGACGCGCATCCAGGCCGCGCGCGCCGCGCTCGGCGAGGCCGCCGGGCTGATCGGCGAGGACGCCAGCGCCGCCGAGACCCTCGACGCCGACGTGTGGTCCGCCCTCGCGCACGCAGGCCAGGCCCCGATCCCGGACGCCACCGTCGACGCGGCCGCGAAGCTCCTCGCCACCGTGTCCTCCGGGGCGCCGCTGCTCCCGGGAGCCATCCGCGCCGCCGGGGACCTCATCTCCACCGTGTTCGAGATCGAGATCGATATCGACGACCAGGCGGCGGCGGCGGCGCCCACCGGGCTACTCAGTGAGGCCATCCGTGATCTCTCGGTCGCCTTCGGCTTGGGGAGCGTCCACAACAACGTCGAGTTCCACTTCCTCACGTGCGCCCCGTACCTCCACGTTCGAGCCGGCGACCTCACCGACCTGACGTGGTTTGCGTGGAGCAAGCAGACGGAGCGGGCCAAGAAGTTGGCGACCGAGGCGGAGCTGTGGATCAACGCCGCGGCCTGGGAGGCCAAGGATGCGGCGGAGCGCGCCCGCTCCCACTCCCTGGTTCAGTCGCCGGAGCGCAACGAGCACATGGGGGAGCTCCAGGTGAGCCTGCTCATGGCCACCAGGTACGCCGACAAGGCGCTCGCGGCGGTGGACATGGTGCGCGACGCGGTGGAGTCGATGGACCAGACGCTCCATCAAGCCATCGGCAACGCCCACATCCCTGATCCCTATCACCCTATGCCAATATGGCTATGAATCCATGAGGCACCGCAAGCTTCTGCGAGGATCAAATGGGCGATCCACCATCGTTACCATCTCCGTGTGTTCGTGTCGTTTGCAGAGCGTAAGCTGCATGCAGGTAGGTAGATCGATGTGGGCATCAACTATTTGTTCTATCCTGTTCGTCTCTGCAGGTTTCGAGTGGGCGTTTTTTCTCCTCAATTTTTTTTTTTGGATAGCGATCGATCTGAGCAGCTATAGTAGGAAGAGTCTCTGCTCTGTTTCTGAACATTTTTTGGGGGACAATTTCTACCATAGCGATCGATCAGAGTTTAGTCAGTTGTACAGCAAAGCACACACTGTGAGAGAGATTCTGAATTGAACTCGATTGTGGATTCTGATGAATG